GGTGATGCCACTGGGTGCACTCACTCAGAGCAAGTTGCTTGATTCTTGCCTAGTGGGAAAAATTCGTACTACAAAAGATCTGCCCAGGGTAGCTCTTTTCTGTTTGTTTTTTTCTTTTATGTTTTCCAAAACTGTGAATCTTCACAGGGCTTATCTTTCTCCTGCAGAACAGCTAGGGGTTTGAACTGCTGACCTTGTGGTTAGCTGTCCAACATGGACCCACACCACCACCAGGGCTCCTTTTCTGTTAAGCAGCTCACAACAGAACATCCTTTTAATGGTAGCCTAATAAAATAAGGGTTTTATTGTAATCAGTAAGTAAACAAGGTCAGGGAGAGTTCACCTCCATGAATTAAACAATTCTTTGTTCTCAAATTGATCATTCTTAGCTTATCTATCTGTGGTCACAAGATGGGTGCCACAGCTCCAGGAAATACTTGTACTTTGAAAGCTGGAAGAAGGAGAAGCGGTGCCTTTCTTAGGTTAAATCATATGACATCCTGGGTGCCCTGCAGATTTCCTAACACTTTTCACTGGCCAAACCTGGGTGTTACAGAGCTTTGCACAGTATCTTGTTAATATCTAGAGTGGAAGCTGCGACGGAAAAGAAAGTGGGATGGTCGATGTGCCAAGCTGGGTTTTCTAGAGCAGCAAAACCAGTGAGACACTCACTCACACACACTTACACTTACACACAATACAGATATCTATGATAAAGAGTAAAGAGGTCTATATTAAGTGGCTCACATCACTGCAGAAGCCGTTAAGCGCAGTCTGTGTGTCAGCTGCTAAACCAGAGCCTTTTCCTGATTGAGTAGCTACCAGGGCTGGGAGGGAGGAAGGTGGAGGAGGGGAAGGGAGGGAAAGATGAAGCCATAAAAAGGGAGAGAGGGAAGGAAGGGGCGGGGAGTTTAGGTGGGAGAGGGACAGACACACACACACACACACACACACACACACACTCTCTCTCTCTCTCTCTCTCAAGGATACATCATTAGGCTGCAACCTGTCTTAAAATGTGTCATTACACTCAATACATGCCCAGCTGTAGCAGCAGCTAAAATGTTTGGAAAAGAACACAAAGTACTGTGTGCTGTTAGTAAGCCTGCTTCGCTAGTTCAGTTAAAAGCCTGCCAGTTTACTTAGGTGTAATTCTCAAATATAATACATGGAGCACATGCAAAGTTCACTGTGTATAATAAATGCCCCAAACCATAGAGGCCAGGGCTTGATGAGGTGTCCCACCTTCCAGGACTGTACACAATCAGCTCTTAAGACTCCGTAGAGTTCATGTAAGCACCCCAGCAAGATGGACCCAGAGTTGCCAGCTGCTTTGGACCAGAGGCCACTCGAGGTTGTTACCTTTCCTGTTTTGTTCTTTTTCTTCATGGTCTGTGTGGTTTCCTTCTTGTGGTACCTGTTTCGCCTCTCCCCATTTGCCAGTTCAAGTTCCCAGAACAGATAGTATGAGACTAAGTCAAAAAGTACTGCTACTGGTGTGTGTGTGTGTGTGTGTGTGTGTGTGTGTGTGTGTTTCCAGTTCGTATATGGGTTTCTTCCATACAAAATGTGTTCAAACATACCCCTGCCATTCATGGATGGCTTCAGACAGTCTCGGTTATTCACTTGTCTTGGTCTTACTAGAGTACCTTAAAAAAAAAAAAAGGTCAGTGGAAACAGTTGTTTTCTAGGGGATCTGCTGGGCCAATTCGATTCAAGGCAGACTGGTCAGCTGAGGATGTTATGGTGATGGCTTCCTAGTATTTCAACAGGCTCATCTTGTTATATTTTCTCCCCACACACAGTTCATTCAAGGAAGCCTATTAGGAAGAGAATTTGAAGAAAGTGAAGACTGAACTGGGAAGAATAAGGCCAGGAAAGTGGAACCGAGAATTTTTTCCCATCATGACAATGCACCTGCTCATCCTTTGAGGTTAGCGAGTGCTGTCCTGCAAGAATTTCATGGCACCGGGAAGTGTGCCCCTGGCACTAACCCCATGCGTAGGGTAACCAGAGCCCAGTTGAATGGGAGAACTGGGTTGAGGCTCACAGTGGAACGGTACTTGCACAGACTCCTCACACCTACAGTGTCCAAAATGTCGTGTCGTTGGAGAAGCTGATGCTACAAGTGCAGTCAGCTTATACCCCAGGGGGATGATTGACGATGTCTTACTTTTCTCTCTCTATGGGGTTTTGTTTCCCTGTCTTTAATTTGCTTGTTTTTATGTGTTTGTCTTTTGTTGTCAGCTAGTTGGTTTGTTGTTGTTCTTGGGGTAGATGATTTTATGGGATTTTGAATCTGTCATAATACGGCTGACAAAGTAAACCTGAGATATGCATTTCCCAGGGACAAGCAGATGTGGATTCTGGTCCCCACTGAACTCTAGCCTCAATCCAAGAACAGTTAGTTCTGATAACATGGGCCTGCTCCGTACTCACCCTCATGTAACAACCATTGAAGACAAGGGTGCTACAACAAAGTGTGGTGAAGAAAGCAGAAGGTGCCTGGCTATCAATCAGAATAGTGTCTGGGGTCTTAAAGGTTCATATTCAAACAAGCAGCCATCTATAAGCAAGGCATCAATCAAGTTCACATGGAAGCATCACACCACTTTGTGTGATCCAAAGACGACAATAACAAAATTCAAATATGACCAAAGCTTAAATTGTGAATACTCAATTTGTAGGTGGTTAAGGAGGGCAGTGGGAGCCCAAACTCACCTGCAGACTATCTAGTCAGATTAAGGTGCTGTCAGATCCCCACTAGCCAGAGGCAAGGCTTTACTGTAAGACAGAGATCATTGTAATCATAACTATACTGGATCGAACTCGATACTTGGTTACTTGGCTTCCCTCTTGAACCAACCTGAAATTCTTCTAGGTGCAAGTATTTCTTGTTAGTTACATGACAAAAATTTCTTCCCTGGCCTTTTCAATATTCACAGTGATATTTTCTATTTGTTATTTTTATTTTTGAATTATTATTTTATCCTTACCACTTTGTTTCTGTTGGGTTTTCCAGTTTGTGAAACACAGGAGTAGATAGATAAAGATAAGAACTGATGCACCTGGCATTCTGTGATGATCACCCCCTTGACAAGATCACTGAAGACAAAATAGGGGCATATGCAAATGTGGTGAAATAAGCTGCCTGCCATCAAAAAACATAGCGAGTGGGGTCTTAAAGGACTGAAGTTAAACAAGCAGCCATCTAGCAGAGAAGCAACAAGCCCACATGGAAGAAGCACACCAGCCTGTGCGATCCTAAGGTGTGGATGGAATCATCTAACCAAAAGACTCAAAGGTACCACAGGTACTAAAAGACTCAAAACAACAAAAATGTTAAGAACAAGAGGGGTCAGAACAGAGACCAGACACCCATCTCTAGACAATAGGTCATCCCCTCACAGAAGGGTCACAAAGAAGCGATGAGTCAACCAGGGTGCAGTATAGGACCGATGAAACACACAACACTCCTCTGGTTCTTTGAGGCTTCCTCACCTCCCACTATCATGACCCCAGTTCTGCCTTTCAGTTCTGGTTAGACTGGAGCATGTACGCTGGTATAGATAAGAGCTCACTACACACGGAATCCAGATCAGACAAACTCCTCAGGTACAGGAATAGGAGTAGCGATACCATAAGGGTAGGGGGAAAGTGCGGTGGAGGGGAGAACCGATCGCAATAAGACGCATAACCCCATCCCCCCACGGCCCCACCCCCCAAAGGGGATGAACAACAGCAACATGGGTGAAGAGAGACAGTGGTCGGTGTAAGATATGACAATAATTGTAATTTATAATTTATGAAGGGGTCATGAGGGTGTGAGGGGTTGGAGGGAGGAAAAAAGAAGAGCTGATACCAAGGGCTCAAATAGAAAGTAATTGTTTAGAAAATCATGGCAACATATGTACAAATATACTTGACACAATTGATGTATGGAATATAAGAGCTATAACAGCCCTCAATAAAATGATTTTAAAAAAAACTGATGCAAGGGTTTATAGGGGAGGTAGGGGTGGAGGTGGCAGATGGGGGGATAAGCAATGTGAGAGGGGGGAGGGAGCATAGAATTGATGGTGATCACACAACTCATTTTACAGGTGATTTAACCTTTTAAAATGGGGGAAGGAAGATAAAGTATTCTAAAATTGATTGTGGTCATGACTGTACAACCCTTCTTGATACGACTCAATTATTGGATTGTGTGCTATGTGGATTAAGTGGCAATACAATTGTTAAAAAAAGATAGCTTCACTGGAAACTTTACTCCATCTACCCTATAGCCCTAATATTGTCCCTCACAGGTGTCTTTGTTCCCCCAGATCAAAGCACATTTAAAAGAGCACCCATGGTTGAGTCCTTCAAGGGTGCCAAAGCTGCTGGTTGGAAGTGATATGCTACAAATCACAGAACACAATTCTTTGGGGAAGGATCAGAAAGAGAGAAACATTGCCATCAGAAATACAGAGCGCTAGATGGAACCAAATAGTGTTGCCTTTTAATGTTTGTTTGAGGTTTCTATACTTTCTGTAGAAATACTTCTGGACTTCCCATCGTAACCTCTGCCTCTAACTCATAGGCTCCCGAAATTATTTGGCCTACTGCCACCTTTCCAGAAAAGAAAAAAAAATTAACTCAGTGCCCCCACTTGGTAATTAAAAACGTTTGTGCTCTAGCCCACCACCCAGGACAAAGTGTACGTACCTGCTTTTGCAGCCTCCTGGGTCCTTCCAGAGCCCCCGACGGGTGGTATCTATCACCCACACTGGGAAACAGAGGCCTTCACCTCAGGAAAGGTCTGCTGCTGGAGCTTCTGGATCCAGGTGGAAGGAGGACACCAGACAAGTCAGACAGCATGGTTTATGGATCACACACCAAAGGAGCCGGCTATGTTTTCTTAAGCGGTATTCTAGACCTCACATGTTTTAAGAATGTAAGACTGATTCAAACCCCCACAGAGAGACTAAGAGAAAAGAGAGTAGTCACATACTATAGTATACGGTGAAACATATTTAATAGTAATATTAAAATAATCATGACATTTCCTCTCATTGCAGAAACCATGGAAGAATATGTTTTTATGTAATTAAAGTAAGTTTACATCATGCAAAAGGTATTTTTATGATTACATTCATTGGCAAAGACTATATTTCAAAACAAGTTTCTATAGACTTCAAAAAGCCCAGACTCAGAGAAAGTGAAGTTTATTTAAATACTATTAAAGTTACAGTGTATGCTGCGGGCATACTCATATTCACAGTTTATAAAGTAAGAAAAACTAAACAGTTTAAATGTCAGCTTTGAAAATCGATACATTTTCAGTATGACATTCACTAGTTAGGTTTGTTCTTCTAAAATGGGAGGAAACGACATTTAGTGGAACATATTTTTTTAAAGAACAAACTCAACATGTCAGCAGCAAGGTTTTGTTAAACTGGAAGTCAACGTTCGGAGTAACCGAAGTGCAAAGTTAGTTCTCTGAGAATGACAAATCAGAGCATAAACTGGAAGGCTTTGGAGAACCTCACAGCGCATACTGCATGGTGCTTTCGTGTGAAATCAATATTAAAATAGAATGCTCTAATTTACGAGTTAAGACACAATTTTGATCTTGTCAATAAGATATATTCAGAGGCGTCACAGAGCAGCAGTACCAGCATTTATGGTTGTTGATGAGAACTGTGAAGGTGGAGCACTGGTTTACCCATAAATCTCTTTTTGAGATCCACTGATGGAAAGCTTGTGGAACAACATGTTCTAAGCACAGGGAGAGCTACTTTCACTCTTAGGTACCAAGCTCAGAATAGCAGTCACTGTTTTGATAGGCTTTCATTTAGGGGATGAAATTCCCCACACATTTCTGGTACTCAAGTAGTACATTATCCCAAGAGTTGGGAAAGACCCCAAGAAACTACCCCCGAGACAACCCAATGGCCTCGCCTCTCCAGCTGTTATACCAGCCAAATACAAGGGCTTCTGAAAATCAGTTTTGATTTTGGAAGAAAAAAAGAACAGTTTGTATTTTTTTTAAACGTCATTGTAAAGCAACAACTAAAATTTTATTTTAATTTAGCCCATTATCAACTGCAGTGTATTTATAGTCCCTTAATACTCAGAATGATCAACTTATCAATAAAGCATTCTCCTTCATATCCCAACATCAAATCTCATCTAGCAATTTATAACTGATAGCAATCTGATTGTGTAATAAAAAGTTGTCATGTTATTTGACTAAGTTCCAGTTACATTATTGAAATTTAGTTCAACTTTAAAATTCACAGTACTGCCAAGAAAGAGGCGGGTCCTGAGGTTTCAGAGAGGAAAGGGGAGTGAATTCATTCTTCATGTTTTAATTCTGGCAAGGAGCAGGGAAGATGACAGAAATGCTGGTCTCTGTGCCACTGAACCAAAGGACAGTGGACTGGTATCAACATTCCCAACTGTTCTGCACGCCGAGACCTTTTAATACATCTGTCATATGTACACACAAATATACGTAGATGTAAATATATACACACACTCTTTGACAAAAGGATGACAGCAATATACTTGAATCACTTTTTGCCAAATGGACTCTATTTGGTTAACAACTGAAACATTTTCTTTCCACCACTCTATCGAAGTCCAGACCAACTATGCAGATAAGATGCCCATCCTGAGGAACGGGAAGCATTTTCTTCCTCGCCTTTGGAAAGCAAAGAGGAAAAAAAAGGTATTAAGATTTATCAGTGTAAAAATCTACATTCCAAAACCATTACAGTATGAAATTTCTTTCTCTTCCTTTTAAACTGATTATATACTATTATTTTATGCCTCCTGTTTTACTTAAAAAA